GCTTTTTTTTTGGTACCAGGGATCGAACTCAGGTCCCTGCGCTTGCGAGGCAGGTGGCGGAACCACTGAGCTAAATCCCTGGCCCCCTCCTCCTCTTGTTTTACATCCAGTTGATTCTCGCTATTTGTAGTAGTTTATTTTCTGTAAAGTTGTAGAAACACTGAATTGGTGAATACTGAGGTATTGTTCCTGTGGAAACATGATTAGATTCGTGCCAATGTTGACCAATACATAACTTTATTTTGTGTTTTGTTTAATAACACTTTTATATATATATATGTATTAATTGAACTTATGGTTAACAGCACTTATGATGCCTGAACAAAATTTATCTAATATATATTTTTCTTTCTGTAAGGCACATTACAGCCTTCTTGAGCTTAGGAATGCTGTACATTTTTAGCACTGTCCTTTGGGACTATATTATGCATATCAAAATCCTCAACAGAAAGCAGAAAAGCTTGAAAAACAAAAAGGACACTTGTTTACAGTATGAGAGTTAAAGCAAGGAAGTGCCACCTTGTTGTACCTTAGCATAAATGTGTGCTTTCTGGTGACACAAGTTTTCATTGCTGTGTACCTGTACGTAAATGACCATAAATGTGTTACAAGTATTAATTTTGGTGATACAAGTAAATTTTAGCAAATAGTCTGGAAATAATGAGAATCAATTGTTTATTTGAGCTTTCTTTTTCTAGAAATTCACAATACTTATTATTGGAAGTGTTAGTAATTATACAGGAATAGAAGAATTCAGGCTAGATTTCTTGAAAGCGTATCAGTCATTTCTGCTTATTTTCTAAGAATAAGGGTAAGATATCGCTCTTCAAATTAAAAATGCCTCAAAACTTATGAAAGTGCATCAATCATCCTCACCAGTTTTATAATCCTCTGAATAAGCGTTTTCTGAACGTTCAGAGAAGTGTGATTTTACTTCTATTTTGCAAAAATTTTGAATGCATGCATTCACTAATTTTTGCTTGTATATATGAAATGTAACTGGAAGTTGAACACTGTTTTACCGGGTTTCACTTATGGCGAGCTTACACGTATACTTACTACAACTATTTTCTTAAAAGGTTGATGGAAAATTATTATGCTGGCTCTGTACTTTATCATACAAGAGAGTTTTACAGAAGACAAAAGAACAAAGGAAGAGCCTGGGATCTTCGCATTCAAATTCTTCATCATCATCTCTTACTGAGAAAGATCAGCATCATTCGAAACATCATCACCACCATCACCATCATCACCATCGTCATAGCAGTAGTCATCACAAGTAAGTACTTTGAAATGACATCTTCTAAAAATCCCTTCTGTCATTTTACAGGTATGTCAAAGTTTATATTGGTGTTTATCTGCAAATACTGACTATGTGTTAGTCTGGTTTACATTATCTATGGTAAGCGTCTTGAGTATCTAAGGCTGTCTCCTCATGAAGTCTGTATAAATGTCAAGTATTACTGTATGAAGTGTGAACAGTTAAACACCTGGATTATTTAGCTGTTTATTAGAGTAATCATAGGACATTTATGGAATAAATCTGTAAAATGATAGCAAGTAAAGTCAAAATGTAAGTGTATCAGTTCATTAGTACTTCAATGATTTCAGGTATTAGAGCCTCATCTTTTTTTTGCAAATGTACACCAGTGATTGAAAACTGTGCAATCTTATCCCTATCTCCTTAGAAGTTTTTTTTTTGTTTGTTTGCTTTTGAGACAGGGTCTCACTATGTAGGTCATACTGCTCTGCAACTCACTGTGTAGCCAAGGCTGGTCTCAAACTCGCAGTGATCCTCCTGCCTCAGCTCTCAAGTGCTGGGATTACAGGTGTGCGCCACCATGCCCGGCTGAAGCATTCTTAATCTTGGAAATTCTCAGAGTGAGAAATAATATTTTTAACTAGTGGTACTTCACTATTTTTTTTTTTAAACATAGATATGAACCCTGTTCAAATACAGAAAAAGGATACCTACTATATATTTTGGAACTCATAGTAGTTTTAATTAAAATTTGATCATAAACACCTGTTGAAGGCTGAAGATTTTTGTTGTTTGTTTGTGGTGTTTACTTTTATCATGTCATAGTGTTTTCTAAATATGACAATGATAGACTGCAGGGCAATAATTTCTAATCTGCTAATTTGAAGAAATGTTGTCTTTTATCAGATTATCCTAAGGAGAAAATCTTTCTTATTTTTGCTTCTTTTTTAAGAATAAAATGACAAAATAACTACATACCATAATGGAATATGCTAGACCTACTCTTAAAACTGCCAAAATTGTCTCTTTCCTGTCCTTTATAGATAAGTTTGCTATAGCACTATTTGAAAGAACATAAAGTGTGCTTTCAGGGATAAAATTATAATATGGTAACTTTTTCTGTGGGTTACTTAAGAAACAGTTATCTTTGGCTGGCCACGGTGGTTTATATAAAATGGCATAGTATTTGCATATGACCTATGATTGTTTTGTATTTGAATTATCTCAGTTATTTGTGATACCTAATACAATGTAAATGCTGCATAAATAGTTCTACTGTATTGCTTAGGAGATAATGACAAGAAAGAAATTCTGTTCCTTTGTACAGTGATATCTGTGTTAGCTTCTTGTTGCTGTGACAGAATACTTAAACAACTTGATGGAGGAAAGATTTATTTTGGCTCAGGGTTTCAGTACATAGTTGTCTGGCTCCATTGCTTTTAGGCCCATGGCAAGGCAGAAATATCATGGCAAGGAAGACTGCTTACTTCGTGACAGCCAGGAAGCAGAAAGAAAAGGAGATTGGCAGAGGGAAAGAGGCCAGGGACAAGATACACTCTTCAAAGGGAAGCCCCCAGTGACCTTCCGCCATCTGAGCCCCACTTCCCAATAGCCCGTTCAGATCTGAATTCATCAATGGATTGGTCCATTGATGAGGTTAGTGCCATTGTGATCAAGTCACCTCTCCATACTTCACCTATGAATGTTGCTGCATTTTGGATCAAACCCTTGATACCTGATTCTTTTGGAGACTTCATAATTAAACTGTAACAACTACTATTTGAATCTTAACTACATTTTTCCATCTATAGTTGGTTGAATCCTCAGATGCAGAACTTGAGGCTATAAATGGCCACCTGTGCTATTTTTATATTTGGTGGTTAGTGACTGTTTTTGAACCACCAGTTGGTAGGATTCTGTCTTAAATTGAGTAGATTAGAACAAGTATGAGGACCATACATATTATAATAGATGGTGATTAATGGGGAGATGATGGTGGTAGTGGCAGGGGTGGCAGTAAGGTCAATTTGACTGTGAGAATGGACAACCTTAGGAAACTAAGATGAGAATTCCAAGTATTTCTGATTACTCATTATTAATATATTTTGTGCTTAGTGCTGTTGTTTGATATGTGATTATATGGCTTGCTAATGCTTATACTGTAATGAAATTTGTAAAAGAAACAGGTGAATTCCTCAGAGTTGCCACTCATTGGCACAGTAAAAAATAACTGGTTGATGGAATTACAGCTGCCATTTCACTTTTATATTTGTTTACAGCTGATTCTTAAGAACATTGTTTGTTTTTTACTTTTCCCCAAAAAATTTTCCATAACTAAAGAATAGTAAATTTTATATAACTATAAGATACATAATACCACTTTACAGATGAGATATTGAGTGATAAGGTAGGGGTTAGTGAATGATTTATTGAAGTGCAAATACAGCAGAAAGAAACGGGTTCATAGTGAGCTATGAAATGCTTATTAGGACAAAATGGGAAAGAAGCCACAGTCTTATATGTATATATAAAACTGTTTTTTACCATTAAATTTTCCACTATTTGCAACATAATTTCCTCAGAGTACTGACTAAAGAGAGACCTAAAGACTGAAGAGGATTTGTAGGAAACTAGGAAAGAATCTGAGGCATTACAGTAGTCCTCAACCAGCTTAACACACTATTCTGAGCAACCTGAATTACTTGAAAAAGGAGTCTTGATTAAGGACTACAGGAAAAGTCTTTATTTATTTTTTTTAAATATCCATTTTATTTATTCATTTTGTTTATAGTGGTGGGGATCAAGCCCCAGGTCTAGCTAATGATAGGCAAGCACTCTACCACACCTCTAGCCCCACAGTCTTAACTTCAAAGACGAACGTTTTCTCTATGAAATATTAAAGGCAGCTGAAGTATAGGGGTTGCTTGATTTCATAATTGTAGAACTCTGTTGTTGTAGATTTTATGCTTATATTCCTTAGCTCTTTGTGTGGTACTAAATTGAATTATGGAAATTTTGTTGAAGAAAAACAAAATCAGCCCCTTTTATTATACTCCCTGTTCTAAAGAATTTAAGATGGCTAGTAATTTGATTAGAATTTATCACATTAGAATGTGATTTATTCAGTATATTGGCTTAACTGAAAATTTAATTTTGCCTGTCTCTGATTATGATTCATTAAGTTTTGTTTATAACATATAATTTAATTCCTGTGGAGAAAGAATTTTATAAAATATAGGTGAGTAAATACATATTGGCATCAGATGTTGTTTATATTTTTCAGAATCAGCAATCTAAGTCCAGAACAAGAGCAGGGACTGTGGAAACAGAGGTAAATACATTAACGTTTTCTAAAGTTTTTGAAATGTATTCTTACAATTGTGATATCCCTTTAATTTTGTTAAGTAGGCTTTCAAAAAATTTTGGTGATGTTCGGTAATATTTTAGGGGAAGAAAAATAACATGATTTGATGCCTCTACCCTTTTTACTCTAATTATTCTTATTATTATTGTTTGGTTTCAGCCATAAATCCTCTGCTGCAATTCAGAATGAAACTCCAAAGAAAAAACCCAAATTGGAATCTAAGCCATCTAATGGAGATAGGTAAAATGAATTCCTTAGTGTTTGCAAAAATTCAGCGTAGTTGAACAATTATAATTGTTTGCCAGTTATTGCTAGATAAAAGCATAGAAATATATTATCTTCTACATTGATTTCTTTGAGTCACCTAGAAAAGTTAAGAGCATTTTAACTTAATTTTGGCAATAAAAAAGTGGCACTAAACTATGTTGTTCTAGTTGGGGAATAAATTTCGGTGTCACAAGAAAACATCTGAATAGAGAACATTATCTTAATTGTTCTTCAAAGAAACACAGATCTGATTGTGATATTTTAAAATTGACCTGCTTAGAAAATGTTTTTAGATTTAAAATATTATTAGTGTGACTTTGTTTTAGTTCATTAGCCAAAAGTTTGCTGATGTTACTGTACAAATTGGCTGCCTATTGCTTTACACTAGAAGTATTGACCCCCTAAAAGCTAATACTGAATTATATTTCTGCAGGTGTATGTAATGTGTGCCATTAGTAAGGTAATTTGCCAGTTGCATCCATTTCTGTCAGGTACATATTTTTTTGCATTAGCCTTAAGGATGTTTGTGGAATTGTCTAATTTATGCAATTTGAACACCTGCTAATTTTCCTTCTACTTCATTTAACTGTGTTTTACTTTTTTTCTTTTTAGTAGCTCTATAAATCAGTCAGCAGATAGTGGGGGAACAGACAATTTTGTCCTTATAAGTCAACTGAAAGAAGAAGTGATGTCACTTAAGCGTCTCTTACAGCAAAGAGACCAGACCATTTTAGAAAAAGATAAAAAGGTAAGGACAAGGTTCACTGAAGGCTGATAAGATTTACATCTTATCTCTTGATTAATAATTGCAACTTTTAACAATTTGGAAATGTTTATTGTACATGATTCTTATCAGATAAATTTCAGAAACCCAAATTGAATCAGAGAATCAAATTAAAATCATTAAAATCTAATGAAGATAAGTAAAAATTATTTCAGAATTTTTGTACTTCCAAGAATAACAGAGCAAATTAGAATAGTAATAATTTCTGAGCATTAGTTTTCATTAAGCACGTAATTTTAAAAGTCTAATTCCTGCTTTGTGAGATAAAAATGAAATGTTTTATAAATTCTTACCATTTGAGAAATTAGTTGAATATAGTCACTCCAGATCAACTAACAGCTGAGAAGTATTAAGTAGTATGGGAATTTCTTGGGTTGTTATTAGTTAGTAATGAATAGCACATAGGTGTTTAGTATCATTTAGTTTTGGGGACTTAGTTTCTCAGTTAAATCAACACATAATCCTGTTGTCTACTTAGTGAAAAGAGTAATATTAACAAATTACAAGTAGATTTAAGGTTTTCTTATAGAAAATCAGAATGGCATAATAGCAAGTAGGCATACAGCAACAGACGGGTTTTGAAGTCACTGAGGCATATTCTGGTTCAAATTGCAGTTCTAGCATTTTCTGTTTTGACCGTGAACTGAATGCTTTCACTTTGTTAAACTCCAATTTTCTCATTTTAAAAATAACATCAGTACTATCTCATGGGGTTATGATGATTAAGTATGCAAAGTATTTACTACAGCTTCTGAAATGTGTAAGTGCTCATAGGGGATATTACTGAAGATTTTGTCATTTTTGAGGATGAAATCTGTTTTTCTGCTTGTTCTGTGGACCCAGACAATCAATGTAGGTTGAACTGTATTAAACATCTCATGTAGTAACAAAATATTAAAACATTCCTTTTTAAATTATGAATAAGACATGATTTTGTGTGTGTGTGTGTGTGTGTGTGTGTGTGTGTGTGAGTGTGTGTGAGAATCATTTTTTTCTGAGAAGCTGTTGTAGCACTAATGCCTGAACTGGCTTTTGTCCAGCTTTTGTAATACGGTTTCTCACAGTTTGTTAATGGACTAAAATTTTAGTACATTTGTACCTTAAGTAAATGTAGTGTATGAAAATTAAGATTGACATGTCAGATAAAATTAGGGTAGTTATGGATATGTTTTTCTTGTAGTTGTTTTTGATTAATAAGTTTTTTAAAATAATGAGCTTTTATGGAAATATATTCTATGCCCAGGATTTTAGAGACAAAGCCAAATTATGTCTACATAAATCTTGAAAAAAGTTGAATAAATTGCCACATTTCAACATAAGAGCAGTGATTTAAAAAGCAATGTCAATAGATTGTGTATATTGACATTTTCCCCCCGTGACTATTCTGTATTAATGAAACTAGTTGAAATTTTCTGCATTGTTAGTGTTCCTCTTTAAAAGCAAAACAGAAACCATCACTGGGATTTGAAATTAGCAGATTTAAAAGGAAAATAATCATAAATCTAAAATAGCTACACATTTTCAACTTTTTCTTATATGTATCAGACAGGCAAATTTTTTCCTGGATGTATTTCACAAGCAGTTATTCAGTGACTTCTGAAGCCAAGCACTGTATTAGAGCATGAGGATGCAGAGACAGAGAAGACAAATATTCTCCAGAAGGTGATAGTCTAAAAGCAACTCACAGTGTAGAGTAGAATAATTACCTTAGGTGGTAGGTGGGAGTTGGCATTTCAGAACAGGAATTCTTGTATAGGAAATTGAGAGAGGGAATTTAGTGAAACTTTGAATCTGTCAAAAACAAGAGCTTTTACTTGAAAATAAGACACTGTGACTTCATTATTGATGTTATACATCCTTTACTTTACTCAGTACTAGATAATTACAGAAACAAAATGTGTAAATTTTTGAAGCCCTCATTATGAACATTTCAAATAACCTGAACTGCATGGTTCTAACAATGAAATTATGTAACAGTTCTTAGTTAAATTTTGAGATATTACATTATTTATGTCATTTATATTTATGAAAAAAGTGATCATTTAGTCTTCCTCAAACTACTGGGGTTTTGTTTGCTACATTTAATCACTTCCTGGGCTCCTTATGCATTAATTGTACTTCTGTATTTTGCTCTCCATTTTTACCTCAAGTAAAAATGATTGAGGTGATAATATATATATAAAATCCTGGACAAAAATTAAATAAAAACAACAGAACTCTTGGATGATGAAAATGTTTCTCTTTGCACTTGCCTAATGTAAAACTTTATTTTGTCAATGAAAGCTTATGTTAACTTGAAACCAGTTTAAATGTTTAGTTTATATTGACATGTACAATATTTTAACTTTAGTACTTTCCCAAGTTATAGCTAATTTTTTTTTTTTTTTTTGTTCTGGGGATCAAACTCAGGTCCTTGCACTTGTGAGGCAGGTGGCAGAACCACTGAGCTAAATCCCAGGCCCTATCTAACCTTTTCTTTCAGCATGCCAGTTTTCAAACTATGTCCAAAAACAAAAAAAGGCAACTTCTCAAAAGTTTACTAGTCACGTGTTATCTTAACACTAAAATTATACTTGAGCAGACATTACTCATCATTTCACAAGATGAATTCTAAATAGCTATAAAATTTAAGAAATTGCTATTAACATTTTCCATTTTTGCTGTGAATGTGAGTTTATTGTAAAGGATTTTTTAAATGGTCTCTGTACGTGGGCAGAAATTACATATATATGCACATACAGATTTATGTATCTCCTTTTTCTTTTAATCTCAGTTAACTGAACTCAAGGCAGACTTCCAGTACCAAGAGTCAAATTTGAGAACAAAGATGAACAGTATGGAAAAGGCTCACAAAGAAACTGTGGAACAACTTCAGGTAAATGATATTATTTATGTAAAGTAATAGTCAAGAATGGTTATACTTGGATAATAGCATTCAGCCACTTAGACTGAATTAGTATCACCATTTTATGAATATTTATTGCATTTTCTGTTTTAATGTTTTTAATTGTGACCCCATTAAAAGGTACTGTTTGAAATCACTTGAAAAGCAATTCAGTACGTTAATCCTGGAAACTTGCCTAAATTTGAAATGAAGTTTCAGAAGAAGAAACCATTGGAATATGTCTACTTGACCATTAGGTTAATAGCAAAAAATTAAATAACATATTTATGGAACCTAAGGTATAAATGAGGTCTTTAGTACAGTCATTTATCCTATTTATCTCCAGAGCGTGAGAAAGGGAGTGAATATAGAAAACCAGTTTTCAGGGATCTTGAATGAGGGAAATGTATGTTGCTTGCAGTGGTTTAAATTGAGTGTAGTTAACCTGTGTACTTTGGCTTGCAAAGCGCCATACAACTCCTCTCTGCCAACAGCTTGTTAAAGATCTCAGTCACAGAGTATTGCAAAGCATATTAAATGGAATTTAAAGGTGCAGAATGAATGGTGAAGTTGGAAGCTATCAAAGTAACAGGGTAGAACATCATGTCTCACCTGCAGGGATGATGAACATCAAACATGGATACAGATTATTTTCTTACTTGCTTGTTACCTGCATTTTACAGATTTAGAAATGAAACCACACTAAATTACATGTTCTCCATTTTATAAATTCTGACATTTGTAGAACTAATCTTTGAGTAACACAGTTTTAAGGTCTAGGGGTTTAAGTCTTAAAAGAATAGGTGATGTCAGCCCATAGACTTCAGACTTGATGAAAAAGTATAATTTTGAAGAAAAGAAAGCCAGCCAGCCCACTTGCCTGCCCTCGTATGTTGTTATTTTTATTTTTTAAAATACTGCTTTAAAACCAAGGGATATTTATTGGCTATTCTCATATAGTTTTATGTCTTTGCCAGTATCTTAAATTGAGTAGGACTTAGGTACCAGCTGATGAAATTTGGGCTGATTGTCTGGTTTTCATCTTGATCTTACTATATTATACTTTTGAAGAGGAGCTTCTCATAGAACCTGGGACATAGTAGGCATTCAAATAACTTGTTACATGAGTGCAGATTTATGGAAATGCCAATCTGCCATCTGTTTTCAGAGATGGCCTATATTATAATATCAGGCTTCTTGTATATTACTGTTTTTCTCCCACTAGCAAGTATTACTTTTAGTTTTATGGTATCCTAATTATGTAACACTAAATGGCTGCCTGGAATATAATTTCCCACCTAATGATTTGTGATTTAATGTCATGTACTCAAAGCTCTGAGGTAAATCCAGACTGAGATAACATAACTATAAGCAGTACTTAAACATGATGTAAGCTAGGCATGGTGGTGCACATCTGTATAATCCCAGCACTAAGGAGGCTGAAGCAGGAAGATTGTTGTGAGTTCGAGGTCAGCCTGGACAAATAGTGAGACCTTGTCTCAAAAACAAAACAAAACAGACACACCAAAACATGGCTTAGCATAGTTCTTTTTGCTCAAAAAAGCAACTTTTAATTTTAAACTGCAGTTGCAAGCATGAAAGAACCTTCTTTGCTTTACCCTGATTAGTATCTTAAGCCTGCCTCCTCTTGGTGGGTAGCTGCTGTTTCACATAATACCTCCGTAGGTAATATTTATATGAAAACAGGACATTTTCAACACTTTTACATATGCTGCCTTACTCTTTACAATATCTGAGTTATGTGGGATGCTCATTTTACAGATGAAACTGTGGTCACAAAATTAGTAAGAAATACAAACATATCTTCTGCCCCAGGTTTTCACCTGTTCTGCACTGTTCCCACTATCTGAGATTATTCAGGGTTTTGTTTTGTTTTTTAATCAGACCATTCCCTGTACCTTTTGTGTTATTTCTGCAGACATTCTGTCATAACTGCCATCTTTTCATCCACTCCTTTTGGCAGCTAGTGTGAGATACTCTAGTGAACTGAGTAAATATAGTTACTTTCTTATTTTTAAGAATGGAATATGATAAAGAATTAAATTCTTTAAGAAAATTCATCTTGCTCTACTAACTCATAAGATATTTTAAACTTTCAGACTTGGGAGTAAGCACTGAACCTCACTAACACAAATGTATAAAATACTCCATAGCTGGGGATTTAGCTCAGTGGTTCCACCACCTGCTTCACAAGTGCAAGGTCCCAAGTTCGATCCCTGGTACCAAAGTAATAAATAAATACAGTAAAATAGCCCGGGATTTAGCTCAGTGGTGCTGCTGCCTGCCTTGCAAACACAAGGTCCTGAGTTCGATCCCTAGTACCAAAAAATTAATTAGATACCCCATAACCACTAAGAATTCTAAATAAAAATTCTGTTCTTTTAATGTAAAGGAGTGGCTAAAAGAGAAAACTGACACTTATGTGCCTACAATGTACCAGTCATTATTTTAGGTCTCTTTACATATTTGATTAGTTCTTTTTTAAAAAAAAAAAACTGAAGTTTCTCTATTACACATAAGAAGATACACTCCATATTACACAGTAAGTGGCAGATCCAGGATTTAAAGCTGAATCTGTAATTCTTATTCTAATATCCTTTCCTTTAGGATACCATGTCTAAATGCTTATAACTCGCTTAAGAATTTTTAAGTAATTTCATTTACTTTTTTTTTTTTTGGTACCAGGGATCGAACTCAGGTCCTTGCTCTTGCGAGGCAGGCAGCGGAACCACTGAGCTAAATTTCTGACCCTAATTTCATTTACTTTTGCAAGAAGTAATAATAAATAATTTTTAAGACAAAAAATGTTGACATGTGTATATATTTAAATATTACATTGTATAATTAACACATTCCCACCAGCTTGAACCACTGGTGGTACATGCATGACAGTTCCATCAGGCAGCTTCTGCCACTGGGGTAGGACAAACTCATCTAATGGTTTTTATTAATAAAATTAATAAAAAGTCACCCACTGGGACAGTCATGCATGCATGTACCACAAGTGGTTAAGACTACCCAACAACAAGACATAGGGATTATACCTGTATTGTGAATGTATTAATATTTATGATCAAATTAAATTTGGATTTGTATCCATTTAACAACTAATGCACTGTTTATCTTAAAGGCTTTTTCTTGCATAATTTATCAACAAATAAATTTTAGTGGTGTGGCTAGAGACTAAATATATAAATGCAGATTGAAAATTTGCTGGAGCATTAAAAGGAAAGACTGCTTTCAAGACCTATTTTCCAAGCTTTTGTGTTTTGTGCTTAGAATATAAAAATATTTGATTTTTTTTAAATTTCTTTATTGAGAAAAGATAATATGGATGTTCACTTTGTAGCCATTTTCTGTATTCAGTATAAACATTTTTATATGAATGTACCTTACAGATCTGGCAATAGTCTCTTTGAGGTAGATTTACAGACAGGTTTTTTATGCTTTTTGTGACTTTATATTTTGAAATATTAGTTTCTTAAATTTTTGGATTTTGCCCATTGGGTCTGTTATAAATATAAATCAAATATGATGTAACTATCAAGGAAAATTTTTTAACTACCACAGTGACTGGTCTGCTGAGTGAATGATTATGAATATGCTACTTGATTTTCCCTGCCAAACACTCTCAATTAATTGGCCTTCTGACTGACTTGAACTGTTAAGTTTATGTCCTTTTTCAATTGTTTTTAAAATTTAAAGTTGATACTGAATTTGAAATTGAAACTTCATTGTCACCTCAGTTATTTAATAACTATTAAATAGGAAAACACCCTATTCATCATGTAATTAAACATGAAATTATTTCATTGAACATTTAAAATAACACTGAGGGTATTTGCAGTTGTATTTCAGAGGTGTTAATATGAAGAGTTTGGAGAAGTGGAAGTACGAATGCTGAAAAATGTTTATATTTTATATTTGATATATAATGAGATTACATAATACTGATACATTATAAATAATATATATTTTATATTTCATGAACTAATGTGGCATACAGAGATGATAGAGTATTATGCAGTCATACAAAAGCTAAATTTAGAGTAGAAAAAAAATAAAAAATGAAACACTAATGTTAAATTGTCTTGAAAAAAATATTTTAAGACCTATAAGAAAAAATGACTTTAAAACATCAACCAGGGAATATCTTTTAAAGCTACAACAGGGCTCAGATTCTACACTGTTTTTGTTAGTCTTCAATTTTTGGCCCAGAAACTTTAAAAGTGTGTCACTAATATATTTGTATATATGAGGGATCCTTTTCATGTAATTGTCCAGAGTTTGGAGACTATGTGGAAAGGCAGAGGTAGTCAAAATATGAAAATATTCATTGGAAGATTCTTACTCAGTCCTCCTTTCTGAGCACTAGTGATAGTCCACAGCACATTGGATCAAGGACTGTCTTTCTCAGTGATAAGTAAAACACTGATGGAAATGCAAATTCAGTTCAGATCATTGGCAGAATGAAATTTTGAATCTATGAAAAAAAAAACCAAACAAACTAGACTTTATTGAAATTAAGAACAGTAATATACTTAGGTCATACAAGCACAGTGCCAAATGACTAGCAACTAAAGAAATGAATAAGGTCAGAGAAGATGGTTCTGATAGATGCTTCAAAGAAATTGTGTATCATTAAGAGACCGCCTTTGATAAAGTGATTTTTTTTTTTTTTTTTTTTTTTGGGGGGTTTTTGGGGGT